TTGCAACATCATCCTTTTGCACTATTTACTGTGATCCTATAACAATTGTATATTTTACTTTATCACTTTATTCACTTGGACCATTTACTAGTTCCAATCATTTGTACTCCGTCAATTTTTTGAAATCATTTCATAGAATAGCCCTATCGCGGATTCCTTGGGTCACTATAAACGCAGGTTCGGAAAAGGACGAATATATGCATTAGATAGACGTTTATTGTCAAAACGCTTTGCGCTTGCACCTCGGCTCAGACGGTAGATGTGTATTTGATGCTCTAATCCTGCGGGAGAAACCCACGTTGACATGGGCCCTATCGGCCATCGATAAAGATTGGCGTGTTCGAGTAAACACCTATACTTCTCGACACAATGTTTCGCAATTGGAACAAGCTTCTGGTGTATGAGCGGATGTCAGCATTTCTCGCCTTGTTTTGTTCTGTTCAAAAGTGTGGCTGCGATAGTATTCCCAAGGAAAACGTGGAAGAAACTATGTTAAAACAACAATTGATTTCTGATCACTCGGATTCACGGATCAGATAGAGTCTATTAATGGAGAACGAAGAAAAGCTCACATGGGACAGGGCCTGTGATGTAACTCGCACAAAGTTTACAGTCATTGAACAAAACAAAATTTTTCTCTCTAACATAGGAGGTACTGAAGTTGACTGTTTGGATCCTACACGCTCTCTGACGCGAAACTCAGCTAGAAATAAGTGTTACCGTTGTGGAAATGCCGAACATCGTGCAAACGATAAATCATGTTCTGCAACGAGTGCAATCTGCCGGAATTGCCATGAGACCGGTCATTTTGTTCGGGTTTGTTGTTCCTGCGCCGTTTCTTTAGTTGCGTCTACAAATGACTCTAGAGCTTCTCCAGTCTTCACTGAACAATCTATAAATGTTGTTAATGCATGCGAACATCCCCTTTCGTCTCCAACACAAGAACCCAAACGGCCTTCGGCAGATAATTGTTGTGCGTAATTTTAAGTAAGAAAGAAACCCATTTGTCCAGATGTGGAAGTAGATTGCGCATCATTAATCACCTATATATATCTATATGTATATATATAAAGAGAGAGAGAGGTGCTGCTGAGAACGTAAGCAGTATAGGCTCAGCGTTGATAGGTACACTGCATGTGCTTCCATTGGATTTACTAACCCCGTGCTTGCATACTGAATCTTTTTATTTCAGCTGGTTGGTTTGCCATCTTGGCTTAGTGCACTTATCTTTAGGTCCCTTTAATATCCAATCGAGTAATCTGCTAGTAACTTGTACACGTCGATTAAGCTTATGGTGGTTATGTTTGTTAATTTATTCGAGTTTGTGACATAAATGTCTTTCTGTCATCTTTTACATATCGCGGATTTTTGGTAACCCATCTATTTCATGTACTAAATTATTGAAGCGTTACGTCGTCTTGTCTGTATGCTTCAATCGAGCATGTTCATTTGATATTCTCATTTTAAGTGATTGACTGATGCTTGACATCCCCGGTGTGGCTACGCTTGATTCGAATGTTGACAAGTTGCCCCTCTGTTTAGTATCCATTACTTCGGCTATACTGACTCCAGGATACAATTTGCCTTTGTGGAAGGTGACGGCGCTGTGTTAGGCTCGGAGAGTGCTACCATCCAATGCGGATCGGACTACGGTCCTGTTACCGCCTGGTGTGCGCTTAATGCCAGAAATCCGTATCACAACTGGACTCTAACGGCATGTACGTATTTCAACTCGTAGTGAATAAGCAAGAAGACGCGTCAGTCTGGCGCACCGTGTACTGAACACTTAACGGTTTACATGTGAGCACGGGACGTTAGGGTATGTCCTTGAGTGCGTGTGTGCGTGCTTATCTACGTGTGTGTGTAGGGCCAATCAGGTTCACGGTCATAGTGAGCGATCATTGGTTGAACACGTAACAATCCGTTGTGCTTGTGTTTGCTCAGGAAGGAGTGTGGGCCATTTCCGTTGATGTAACATGGCTCCAATCCACTGTTTCCCGGTCTTATGCCTTCAAGTTTAAACTCGATATACGGTGGGTGGATGGAGCTGTGGGTGGTGCAGCGCAAGCCACCTATGGTCCCTCTGTAGGCACAGACGTCCTGTGGCTGTCTCAAGGAACCAGATGCCGCCAACCATACCTAGCCGTGCAGCAACAAAGTAGTCTTTTATTCCACTGATCAGGTACATCAACTTTCATCCTCGATCTTATGAAAACTAGAGGCAGGGAAAGCCATTTGTTTGCGTATTACATCGTTAAGACTACGGTACAATTGTGGGAGGAGGAAAGGTAAAAAATGAGATGTACGTATAGGTTCTTCGCAGATACACACAGACAAACAGCCACAGACATTCAGGAAAGCGCTAGACGGCCGTTCCGTCCTATTGGGACTCGTTAGCAGCGCGCACCGGCCGAATCCTACCGGATTCGAACCCACGACCTTACTCTTGCGAGTCAGCGTCATATGTCACTGAGCCATGGGTGGCAGCAGCGGACCGCCATGACTGATACCTAACTGCGATATAGCACAGCTCAGCCTCCACTATCTTTCATGTTATGGATATGCAGAGGACAGAGCTGGCCCCCAGAGCAACGACTTGCTTTGCAAGCCGTTACAAAGCGAGGTGGCATGTAAGCTGCTAAGGCGACTACTGATTTTTTGTAAGCGGTAGGGGATTGATTAGGGTTTTGTAGGTTCGTCGCGGCTAGACAGGCAGACAGCCACCGCACATCCAGGAAGGCGCTAGACTGCCGTTTTATCCTATTGGGACTCGTCAGTAGCGCGCACCCGCCGGATCCTGCCGGATTCACCGTCTAGTGCTTTGCTGGATGTGTGGTGGCTGTCTGTCCGTGTCTGACTGCGACGAGCCTACAGGAAAACCTAATAAATCCCCCTACTACTCACAAACAATGAGATTGTCAAAAGCACAACAAGCCCTCAGATGGGGTACCATTGTACTTTTACTTAGATTATTTGCGCTCGAACTTTGCGTTGCGCATATTGCTGAATATTTCTGACTTAAATAAGTTATTGAATATGAAATTGCTGTAACGCGAGTGGATTTTGCGTTCCACAATGTGTATTCGTATTACTTCAGCGCAATAAGTTTAGAGTATGTATTTGAATATATTGCCTAAGTTTGGTGCAGGAGCGATGACAGCTCTAGATTTTTGTTTCGGCCTGAGTCAAGCGTGCTGCAAAGTTTTGTACAAAACCGCTGAGCCATTGTACTTCAACAAAAGTCACTGGAAGCTATTGTAAATTAATTGGAGTTTGCAGTTATGCTAATCAAATGCGAGGTGGTTATTTGATGACCTCACTTGGTTACCAGTGATTACATTGCCCTTAGTATGTGTGTTGTGCCCCCTTTAGCTTAAACACACCTTTTCAACAGGTCGCTGTCCGAAGGTTTATTGCCCATTGACTGGAAATGTTCGGTGGTGAAGCCTATTCTGAAAGGCGGCGACCCTAGCAAAGTAGACAATTACAGGCCAATTTGTCTGACACCTATTTTGGCAAAGGTTGCTGAGAAAATCCTGAAGGAAAAATTGCTGCGGTTTATACAGTCAAACGAGGTCCTGATGCCCGCACAGCACGGTTTTATACAAAATCGCTCATGTATTACGGACCTGCTTGTGACGAGGCATGCCTAGTTGAACGCAATAAACAAGGGGAAGTCCGTCGACGTGATATTCATCGATTTCAGTGATGCGTTCGACAAGGTCAGTCATGAGGTTCTCCTTCACATAGTCAGCATGTGTGGTGTTGGTGGCTCACTGCCCCGGTGGATCCGCGACTTTCTTGTTGGACGAAAGTGGAGGGTACAGGTCGACGACCATCTAACTGACTGGTACCCCTCTACAATTGGCGTGCCTCAAGGCACTGTGCTGAGGCCCCGCTCTGTTCCTGATCCACATCCACGATCTACCGCAGCTTCTCCGGTCGCCATGTGTCTTGTTTGCGGACGACATGAAGATTTTGAGAGAAATCGACGCTCCCGATGACTGTGGCCTACTTCAGCAAGACCTCAACTGCCTATCCACATTGTCTGCAGAAGTTCTTCTTCTGGTCAACCCAGCCAAGTCTGTATTTATCAGCCTGGGGAAGGGTGCTAACGGCCGAACCTACACTCTTGACGGCCAAACGCTATATCCCACACCCTCCGTGAAAGACCTAGGTGTACTCTCACGCTACGATTTGAAGTCCGTGGACAGCACGACAGGCTATATCGTAACGGACTGCGCATGCTTTGGGCGCTCAAACGTAGCATTGGCCTATGGTCTGAAGAGGTTGTCACTCGCCTATTTTCTGATTATCCGAGGCGAGGCACAAAGGATCGAACGGGGTTCAACACGTTGCTACCAGGCTGATCCCGAGTTTACTTGGCATTGGGTATGAAGACCAGTGCAAGAAACTAGGACTCTACACATTGTCCTACCGTCGCGTGCGAGTCGACCTCATTATGACCTACCGTAATTTACATCTCGGTGACTTCCAAATGCTAAGACCAATTCTGCGCTTACGAGGGCCATGCAGCACACGCGGACACAGATACAAACTTGTCGTGCCGGATGTGAAATGTGTTCCCCACCCACTGTGCTTCGAACGGAGTGTGGTAAACATTTGGAACAGTTTGCCTGAACATGTGATTGGGGCAACATCTGTGCAGCAGTTCAAAACGTTCTTAGATTTATATTTTGCCACTATTCGATTCAGAGAACGACTGCACATTTACGATGACATATCACATTTGTGAATCCTGAAATATCGCAAGTCGAATATTTTAAATATTACATGAGAACGACATTGATATTCACGGTTGACATCTTTTATAACGTTTTTCACCATATTTCGAAAGAGTTGTACAGCATCCATTTCTACTTGCTGTATAATACAGTATTAAGTATATATGTATTCTTTGTATATATAACAAGGTCAGTTTAATAAAGTCTGAAACGTTGTAACTACTTTTGCTCATAACTCTGTCCTACATAGTATTGATGGCGGCGGCGTACACTTATAACTGCATCGGAACACTTCTTGCTTTGATTTTACCAATAACCATTGCGAGTATAACAGAAGAGGATAAGGCGCTAATACTGAAGTTACATAATGATTTGCGGCGTCAACTGTTGCGCTGCAACCTTCCTGGCCAACCTCCGGTGGCTGGACCTATGCCCGACCTAGTAAGTCCACTTTCACCAGAACCGTCATGCATCATATTTATAACCAAAGAAATGGCACGACCAACTAGCCGCACAGGCGGAAACTTTGTCAAAAAAATGTGTGTTCCAGCACGGCTTTGACCCGAATTTCAAGATTCCGGAATTCCCAAGTAGTGGGCAAAATATCGCAGCCGGCGGTAATACACTTAGGTAAGTTGCTCTTCAATCTCTGAAAATCACAGTTAAAGCAGATTAGCGTGTTAATAAATTAAGGCTATCCATAGTTAAGTAAAAACAAGAAATGTGAGGCTACCATTGAGGAAATCAAGTGCGAAAAACTAAAAATTGTAGGTTTCGTCCATAGCGACGAGATTGAAGTTAAATGCAGTGAGAAGCTTTGCGTACATCCGTGACCCATGCAGTTAAACTTGCGGTGAACTCCAAATAATTAAGAGCCAGTTGTACCGAATAGATCAAACCCAGTCTCACAGCATTTAAGAAAAACGCGATGAAAACTTGGAAAATATGTGGAACCTCTAGTGAATTCATCATTACAGAAGGATTGGTGGATAACCAGAAAATATATTTATGACGAAACACAAGTATTCCCTTTTTATAAAATACCACCGTCAACCAAATTGAAGTAACTTAATGTTGACGTTTCATACTGAGCTTGGCTAAGCTACATACAGAGACTAATCCATTTGCACTTCATCAAGGAAAGATTACAGAGGTCAAAGTCACTAGCCTCGTTTGTACACTGTGGTTTGTTTCAGTCAGGGTCAGATGGAATACAAAAGCTTGCTGGTCAGAGGATAGCTACTTGCATGGCTAGCAATCTTAAGTGGTCCGATACAACGAACTTGGTCACTGATATAACTTGTCTTTTATAGTAGAAATTTGGTGGAGGGAGCATTGACAGCCCATTTCGATTTGGGATCCATCCGCCGATGCTTATCAACTTGGCCGGAGTAAGACCGGAAGCCAGGAACTACACAAGCCTTACTCCGTCTATTCTATTCATGCACTTGTTAGCCTCGGTTATTTCTATAGTCTTAGCAATCAGCCTTTGTTTGGCTGATCGTAATCCATTCCTGAGAACCTCGACATGTTCGAAGTCAATTTCGTGCCCCGTGGCTAGCGCATGCATTACTAATAATAATGTGTCAGGTGTACGCTGTAACGTCGCTTCGCTGCCGGCGACCACCACCAGTCGCGCGCTGGCTGAGTATACCACGAGGACGCCCACCCCTACGCGGATTCGAACCGGTGACCTTATGGTTGCAAACCAAAGGTGCAGACCACTCGGCCACCGGCCGACAGCGCATGCATTGCTATTGCCGAGTATCTGAGTAGAGCTCCATAATCTAGCTAATTTCGTGGAGGTCGTGATAGGTGTCGCCCATGTTCTGAAATCCTTCTACTTAAGTCCCTCTCCGGTTGGCCTATATACACCGGCGTACAATCTTTACATGGAATTTTGTAAATGCAGTTAGTTGTTTTATATAAAGGAAGTGAATCCTTCAGATGCACAGGCATAGACCGTAGCGTTCGACCCTTCTGGAAAACTACGCTTATCTCCTTATTCAGTACTCTCTAAACCGCTTTCGAAGCTCCTTCTTTATACGTAATACCCATCGTCGCTATCCACTCTGTGGTTGGTGTTGCGCATCGGTTAAGACATTTCTGTAGCTGTCGTTTCACAAATCGTTTCGGACATCCGCTAGTTACTAAGTTTTTCATCGCCTCCCTATGCGTCGCTTTCTCATCTTCTTTCTCCGTGCACAGAGCATTTGCTCTGTAAAACAGAGATTAGGCGATTCCTGCATACACATGCTTTGGGTGGCTTGAACTATAGCTAAGTACTCCATCAGTGTCCATTGGTTTGCGATACATTGTCGTTTTTAACGTTCCTTCGTTCTTATGAACCAGCTAATCAAGGAACGAAAGTGTATCGCTCTGCGACTCAAGTTCCATGGTAAAACTTATCGCCGCGTCAATAGAGTTCAAATAGTTCAAGAATTAATCGTTTTTATATCTTTGTATGTGCGGCGGATGGATCCTAAATCGGAATGGGTTAGCAATGCTCCCTCCACCAAATTTCTACTACTAAAGACAAGTTATATCAGTGATCCAGTGCGTTGTATCGGACCACTTAAGATTGCTGGCCATACAAGTAGCTATCCTCTGACCAGCAAACTTCGTATTCCATCTGACCCTGACTGAAACAAACCACAGTGTACATACGAGGCTAGTGACTTTGACCTCTGTAATCTTTCCTTGATGAAGTGCAAACGGATTAGTCTCTGTATGTAGCTTAGCCATGCTCATTATGAAATATCTTTGGTAAGCTAATGCACTTCGCCTGATGAAGATTTCTTTTCAGAAACGAAGCGACTTTTATCAACGGTAAGTTGAAATTCTACACTGACTCTATTTCCTCGCATTATTGCGATGGTGCTGACAAGTGGCGTTTTATAAGATGCTTCCTCGATTCTCTTAGGACAGTATATTTTCATTCATGTTTTAAAACTCTAGGAATGCACCCTGCGTTGCTCTATATTTTTTCAATCCGTTTTAATGCGAGTAGCTCTTGGTCAATTGTATGCAAACCCTTTTACAATCTCCCTCTTTTATGGAAACCTCAAGTTTGACTCTATAGTCCTAATTCCAAGATAGAAACATTCCCCATCGCTCTGAGCTTCGGCTCACTGGGTCAAATTCCCCGACTTGGATTCTCGAACCTAAGCTCTGTTTACCCCAAAGCATTCACCTCTTGCTACTGAAACAAAGCTTGAAATGGGGCCCCGTGATGTATCAGTTACTTACATAACACTTTCGTCGATAATATTTTCTTCACTTCGTTTCCTCTCTCTTTGAGCCAAACCGCTTCCGTTATTTATTCGCGATATCGTATTATTCACTCCCTCGGTCACGTTATTAGGGAATCCCTGTCGACTGTCAAACCTAGGGTATAGTTCAAGTTTAGATGTCAACTGTTTATCTTTGTTCATGAAATAGTGCGATAGGATGAATGGGATAATCGCCCATTTTGTAAATACTAAGGTTGATCCCACGTGGGTAAATATGTCCACGTGGATACCTCACCCAGCCAAACTAAGCTCTGAATCTGAGCCGAAGAAGAGAGCTAGACGCTGCAACCGCACTACAGCGTCTATGACTTTAAATCCCCTTGGTCACCTCACTCCCATAAGTGGACAAGCCTCAAATATGCCTACTTCCATTTCTCCAACAGTAGACAGTTCATTTGGAGATTCAGTCATGACACCGACAGCTCAGAGCCAAAGGCAATCCGGTGCAGATAACAAGCACGTCATGATTGCCTCGAGAAACACACCGGGAGGGACGTGCACACGCGTGGCATAAAGCAGCGTTCACCGTCAAATCCAGTGGTGCCTTCTAAACTACCCGAATTGCCGGCAAAACTATAAAGCCAACAATCGCTAGACGACACCACGCTGCGTTAACTCTCGTGTGTACCAATGTTCCCGTATCCAAATCTGGCAAAACAAAGGCAGTTTGCAAGAAGATCGCAACCAGTGGTGAGTTCCATCTGCGATGCGATTGGTATTCGGGTTGAGCCTGCAATGCTGCAACGCGTAGCGCGTCATCGACCTCAGTTCAACCTGGTGAACCTCGAACTCTTCGAGTAACACTAGACTCGGTAGATGCGACAAAGGCTGTCCTGATCTCTGCAGTTTGTCTTCGCAACTCACCGAGCGGAGTGCGCATATTACCCGATCTCTCTTGGAAACATCGCCTAAAAAAGCAGTTGTGCAACGCGACATTCCTAATAGGGATAGCAGGAAAACAATATTTGTTCATGGTGTTCCCAAGCTTCTGCATTATTCTGATCACGATGCGCAAACACGTGACCGAGAGCAGTGGTGCTACATCCGCGAAGCTGTCTCTGTTGATAATATTATTGTCAAATCCCTGACAAGAGTTCCGTCATCACCTAACTACAAGGACTGCGGTCCAAGGCTAATGAAATTAACACTACACTCCGAGGGAATGACACAAGTTCTGTTGGATAGCTGGTTAAAGTTTCGAGCTAGGGTGCCAACAGATTTTCGGCTAAAGGCAGCAAGCGAACGGCCAAAGGTCGGAAGCAATTCGATGGAATTTTTAAACTCTGCAAATTCGTTATCTGCACAGTCCTGCGGAGAGACCGACACAACAGCATCCACGGCACACAACAGGACAGAGCACAGCATGAATGAAACATCTGTTCAGGAACGCTCAATAATGGCATGCAACTTGACTGAAATTCCTAAACCAAAAGACGATTAATGGCTGGCCACCTAACGGCCGGATTAAAAACTAACACAAAGTTAACCTCCATCAACTCACTCCTAACAACAAAAGCTCTGTCTTGCATGTACACAAACGCCCAAGGTCTTCTAAGTAAGTTGGCAGAACTTAGAGAATTTTATGCCTCACAACCGCGGGACCTCGTCATGATTACAGAGACATTCATGCAGCCATTTCCCTTCAGAAATTTCAAGAGAGCAAGAACAAACAACATTTACGCGGGATAACCTGAATTCAGATTATTTCGTGTCTTCTCGTTCAGCCGCTTACAGACAAATCGTGGAAAGAGTAAAGGAATGCAATTGAAATAAGGGGTCAATAGGAAAATCAATAAGACACTGAGCAAACCAAGGTCATTGCCTGCGTCCTACCAGGGTAAGGCAAGACTGGCCACAAAGTCTACTTGTTTGCAAAGATCTGGCTTCATTCGTCGGATGGCTGAGGCTTCAGCGAAACGAAGCAAGCTCGCGTTGTTTTGTCTGCTGATAACCTTGAATGCGCCACGTGGATTTTCGCACAAGGTACAATCAAGCAGATGCTGAGCGATGGAACATGTTCCACGGAACCTGGCAAATAGTGGACCTAAACTCCCTGCCAGCGCCATCGCTCAGCATCTGCTTGATTGTACCTTGTGCGAAAATCCACGTGGCGCATTCAAGGTTATCAGCAGACAAAACAACGCGAGCTTGCTTCGTTTCGCTGAAGCCTCAGCCATCCGACGTATGAAGCCAAATCTTTGCAAACAAGTAGACTTTAATCTTAACGGTTCCGTCAGATACGAGGGCTTCTTATAAGGTGAGTTCAACATCGAGCTCTGATCCGTTTTGGTGCCGCCTATGGTTGCAAAACAAGAACACATGTCTACTAGCCGTGATTTACCGTCCACCAAACTCAACGTCGGAAATGGATTCCAAACTGATTCACGTTTTTCAGTTTGATTTGAACAAATCCTACACACACATTCTTATCGCTGAAGACTTTAACGTGCACGACATAGAAACGCGGGCAACCGATGGTACACAGTTTAAAGCCTGCTAGCAAGAGCTATTTGCTAGCAACCCTCTGTACAACCACGTAACCTCTCCCACCAGATTTCGAACTGCTGACAAGCCGTCGATACTGGATCTTGTGCTAACTAACGTAGATCTTATGGTTGACGGGATAGTTACAAGCACACCACTGGGCCGTAGTGACCATGTTACTCTACTCTTTGACAATATATGCTATGGGGAGTACCCTGAAAAGGA